TGAGCGACCACTTGAATTTGAGATTTGAACTTGTACAAAATGAGTTATTGATAAGATTAATGAAGAGTTGCGAATCTGTCACAGGCACAGGTAACAGAACTGACAGGTGACTGCCTTTGACAGATCGCAACTATGAATTAATGACTATAGTCACTTAAGAAGCCCTGCAGTACTAAGTTGAATAAGTATCTTGCTGGAATATAGATTGTTTGCCATTAAAAGATGTGGGTTCGAATCCCACCGGTCTAAAATTATTAAATTGTCTCTACATTTTATTAGAAATAAGCTGAAATGAATCAGAATTTGATGTGGCTAATTTCAAGGCTACTATAGGCACTCGACAATAGAATTTAAGATCTATGAACTACAGTTTTGGACTTAAACTATAAAATGTTGTGGCTTATTAATCAGGCAAAATCAATGACTTATTCGGTTGTCATGAAGTGCTTTTGATATTTATTCTCCTGACAATATTAAAAAAAACATTAAGAATCTGTACCAAATTCTAAGCATTCCAACTTAATAATACCATCAAATGCGCTCAAATTCTCATAAACATCCCTCAACAGACCGCTCTCATACATTCCCATTCTAAAATCATTGCATAAAATTGTAATATTTTCAGAAGGTTCATAAACTTGACATATCTAAAAAGAGAACCAAAGAAAAAGAGAAAAGAGAAATGTGCATGTACACATTGGAGAAATGTGAAGGATAATAGAGTCGAACAAAGAAGAAGAAATGGAAGAAGAAAGGGAGAGAAAGGTGCAATCAACCTGTAAATGCGACCTTTCTTTTCTGCACATACACGAGACATATGTAATGATATTTTCTCCTATTGCATATCTCTTGCACCCCTAAACTCTCTCTCTCATATTTCTAATAATATTTAGTCACACTTCAATCATCAGAAAATATGAAATGTTTGTGCAATAATTCAATTTCTCAATTCTTATGCGATATTGAAAGTAAAAATAGTGCATTCTACAAAGAAGAAAAGCTAGTCGAGGGTTTTGCTCACATAACTTTATAGATTGAACTCGATTATTGCTCGAAAATAATGGAATGAATGACGTCGAGTGTCTGAGTGCAATGTGTGTAAAGTTAAGGGTAAATGACATCGACGAGTGCATGAAAAATTGCAATTTACAGCTCAAGGAATGAAATGAGAATTTATGTGATAGTTCAAGAATTTTTAGGTGAAGAAGTTTAGGATGAAGGCAGGGGTGGGGTACAAAAATCATCAATATTAAAAAATTCAAAAATTACAAAATTTTAAATACTTCCTTAAAAATCACAAAAATAAAAGTTTCAACCATAAGAACTATAATGTAAGAAATAAAAGCTATAAAATGAAGTTCATTGAAGCAATTCGCAATAAGAAATCGACAGCTCAATAATAACATAAAAGAAGCTAAGAAAATGCACAAAATAGAGAATATAATTCTTGCACTGGAACTGTGCGCAGTTGAGCATAAAAATACAGTGCAATGGTGCTATTGAAATTTAATGAATCTCTTTTTAAAGTTTTTTGTACTTTTGCAAGTGAAGCAAATGCACTTTTTTTTTGTTTCGAGTAGACAAAATAAAGACACTGCGGATTTTGCAAGTGTGAATGTGAAACCTTCTTGTACGCTGGATTTCGAAGCAGCAGTAGTGATATTTTTTTTTCGAAAACATGAACCGAACATCGTGTCTGATGTTGAAATGATTTTTTTTTTGAAGTGAAATATTTTTTTAAGTAAACGCTTTGGTCATTTAAATCAGGAGGTCGATGAACTGAGTCAATGAACTAGAGACCATCAATTTTTTTGATATTTATGGAAGTAATAAGCTTGATATTCTGGTTTTTGTTTAAAATGATTAGCAATGAATATGTGATATAGGTTCCATAAATGGGGAGAAGGACTATTATGGTGTATCAGGGGCGTAGCCAGGATTTTTTAAGGAGATGCCCAGAAATTTTTTTCAAAAAATTTGTATGAAAATCAATCTCAAGGGGGTCTTCCGGGCACCTAAGGACCACCCCTTGCTACGCCCCAGGGATGTATCCTTACTTTATGACTGAGGCCAGTTTCTAGGGTCAATATAAGACAGGATATAATTAACATCGTGGCTTTGAGTTGCTCAAAGACCAACCCATGATCTCAAACTGGCCAGAGACACCTTATATTTTGAATTAGCACCACATGTCTAGTGTTATCAAACCAATTTTGTTACAAGAGGGTGGGAGGGGTCTGAAAAATCAAAATTTTGAAAATCGCCATAAGTTAACGCACCTTAATTTCAACCTTCATAAATCAAATTACCCCAACAACCCCCAAAAGTTACAAACTTTCATTCAAAACATTTTATTTCAGCTCATTTGTTAACATTTGTACTTTTTAATTCAAAAATAATTCATATTTCCACTATTTAGTGAACTCGTCTTCATCTCCCTCTTATTTTTATTCACTCAACCACCCTGCTGTGTTTAAAACTTGTGTTTTATAGTACAGAATGAAGCATACACATAAGAAAATAAAGTATAAATTTTTTATGCTACGTTCTTCTCGTCTCTTATGCAACTTTTTTTTCGTACAATTTTGCACAACAATGGCAGACAGCAACGAGGCATTCTCAATGCCAAAAAGTGCAATAAAAGTTCGTCGGAAACAAAAGAGAATTTTTTTTTATGTTGCTGGAGAAGTTTATGCTATGAATTTTTATTGCCCATAATATAATTTTTATATATTTTTTGTGTTTTTCTTTTTTTACATTTTTATGACTCTATAGACAGTCAGTTAGTCACAGTAAAGTAAAATATGACATAAATAGATGAGAGAGAGATGAGAAATTAGCATGAAACATAGTTGGACGTTTGAGGATCAAATTCTCTCGCCTTAAAAAAATATTGAGAATTTAATTTAATTTATTTCTTTTTTTGAAAAGGGTTGCATTGTTGCCAAAAAAAATGTATGAAACAAGACATGACAGCCGGAGGAAAAAAAAAGGCAAAAGAGAACTCGATTTCTAGAAGAGAATATGCTGTGCATGTATGTGGATGAGTATTTCTTTACAATTATTGAATTTCATATTTTTATGAAGAATGAGTTTCTATTTTTTTTCTACTCGGCTTTTGTAAATAATTGTTCTGTGCTGCTCAATTTTTTTTCTGCTTTCATGCTCGACTTTTTTTTGTGTAATAGATTCTCTGAAATTAAAGAGAATGTTTTCATTTCTGAGGAATTTCTTCTGTTGAAAGAAATTCTTTTTAACTTCAATTCTTTGGAAATTTGATGTTGTTCATGAGTTGGAATGTTATCTGTCTGCAGAATTGATATGTTCTTTAGGAAATCTTAGCGACTAGCTTGAAGCTAACTTAGTGATTAGTTTAAAGCCAAATTAGTGAATAGTTTAAAGCTAACTTAGTGACTTGGTTGAAGCTTACTTAGAAGCTAGTTTAACCCTAGCTTAGCGAGAAACTTAAAGTGAACCTGGTAAAAAGCTTGTAGCTAGTTTAGCGATTAACTTGAAGCTACCTTATTGACTAATTTGGAGCTAATTCCAACCTAATAAAATTCAATTTAGAATATATTCTCAAAAATTAAAATCATCGACACATTTTTAAAATATTTGAAATATTTTTTATTTTCGAAATTTCACTACAGTTGCTAATTACGCAATTGTTCTCTTATCAATCGTCATAATTTACTTAATTTTGAATGCGTAATCATATGGTAAATATTAATAAGAAGAAAATATTATTTTTCAAGTTCAATTTCAAATTAAAAATCTGAGAAAAAATTAACAATTTTAATTATTTTCCCATCATTTATAACGAAGTAAGTTACAACATTGTCCACAGCATAATCAAAACATTCAAGTATTTTTCATGCTCATCTCTCTCGCAGCGCGCGTAATTTAACTTCACACACTTCAAAATCGTCGCTTTTTGTCGCATTTATTCCTCTTTGTTGTTGTTGTAGAATTCTAAATCAATTTTTTTATTTTATTTTTTCCTTTCACTCGTTTTGCAACATTGCCAAATTTTGTTTTCATTTGAAATAAATTTATAAATATACACATACATCGGGTTGCTCTCACAAATTTCTCATTTATTTTTAATTTAGTTTATTTATTTATTTATTTTTTTTGTACGGACTTTTTTTGTCGTATTTTTAGACTTGTTCGGATTCTTTTTATTCTTTCACTTCACTTTTTATTCCATTTTTGAGATCGATGGGATTTTCTTTTTTGTTTTAAATTATTTTAAAGGTATTTGGGAATTTAAAGATGGGTTTCTTTTTTGGGGGGTATGAAATTTGGTTTTATTACAGATTTTTTCAGTTGTTTGAATTTATCAATTTTTGTATTTTTTACTTTTCGTAAATCAAAATTAATTTTTCAATAATATAAAAAATATTGAAATTTTTTTTTAAAAAAAACCTTTTTTAAAATTCTTAAAAATATAATATCAATTTCAATTCAAACATTTAGAAGATTTTAAAAAATCATTTGAACAACAATAAGTTTTAAATTGAAAAAATTGAAAAAATCAAATTTAAAAAACCTTTTTTTTGTATATTTTGTGAAAATTTGTTTCATTTAATTTTTTTTATTAAAATCATTAAAATTTCTGAACTCTTTGAAAATATTAAAATAAAAACCTTTTAATTCATCCTTCATTTTAAAATATTTTTTTTTAGTATTTTCTTTTTTTTATCAAAAATAGATAAGTTTTAAAAGAATTTTAATGTTTTTAATGCTTAAATTCTCCTAATTCAGAATTTTAGTCTCAAATTTCAATTGAGTAATTCAACATTGCAAAATCAGACTAGCTACTCTGAAAACTTGTCAAGTCAACCCTACCAGATATCAAACTAGTTCAAAATCAATCACTCCACATCAAAAAATTGAAGAAAATTATTAAACACTATAAAAAAAGCTCAAATTAGCCCTCCCAGAAAAGACAAGCTGAATGAAAATGCCCTCCAAAAAATAAATAACTCAAAACTCACCTTTCGTTTTAAATTATTCGACTCCTCCATTTGATTATTCGCCTCATAAAGAACACGCTCAAAGTCAATTTCAACTGCAAACATTTCATCCAATAATCTCGTACATTTCTCCTGATTCGGTTCACTCATTGCGACATGAATATAAGATCGCCATTTATTTGACTCGAAACCCCAATGACATGTTGAATTTTCTTTTGGTTTATTTTTGCATACATGCAATACAAATTTATTTGGTGCCAACATACCATGACATTCAACACATTCAATGCACTCGCGATCTCTAAATGTAAATAATTCTGGTGTACAAATTCCTTCAGATTTACCAAAGCATCGATGATAAACGCGAAATGAGAAATAATTTTGATGACTTAAGTCCTTCTTCTTAACAGATTTATGTAAAAGTGCACTGCATAGACGTTCAGCATTTGTGCGTGTAATGAGCCCACATGGTGGGACATTAGGTGGTAAAATTTTTGCACGTTTAAATTCAGCCAATTGTTCAGGTGTACTCAATGAGCAGTGGATGTGTAAGTCCTCAATTGTTGGATGAATTCGTTCGAGTGGAAATTCAGGCAGGATGTTGTTAAGGATTTGTGGAAAGCATAGTCGCAGCTCACCGCCAACTTGAAAACATCCTATTGGACGTCCTTCAATGATACATTCCATAAGTTCACCACATTCACTATCTGGTGCTGTTAAGATTGGCTGAGATTGAATTGGTTGCATCATTGGTACAAATGTGATTGGTGGTGATGGACAAAAGTCTCGTTGACTTTGTTGTTGCTGCTGCGTTGGTGTTGATGGCGATGAAATTTGACGATTTGACTCGGCACGTTCTATGACAGTGCCGGATGGTATAGAAATATTACATTGCATTGGTGATGATGATGTGTGCTTAAAATCATCGTCCTGTGGTGGAGGTGAGTCAATTTCACGCTTAAGACCTTTATGGTACTGATGTGTATTGTAGAATAGACTGGCTGGTCCTTGAAGCGTCTTTAGTGCATTATCTTGGTAGGTTTTGAGTACATTACTTAATTCTGTCATGGTTAATTTGTTAAATTTGTTAGTTTTACGTTTCACTAGACACGACTTTACTTTTCTTCTTTTTTTTGCGTGGGGGTGCAATTTTATACTTTAATTCTATTTTATTTTGATTAATTTTGTGCGTTACACTGCATGTTGGATCATTTTCATTCACATTTTTTTACACTTCAGCTTGAAATTATTTTTGGATTGCAATGCATAATTTATTTTTATTCGCTCTCTCTCTCTTTCTTTCTCACACACTTCTGCTTGCTCCTTCCCGACACAAAAATTTATTTTTATTTGAAAAATCTGTGCAAAAGATTTTATTTTTTGGCACTAAAATTTTTTTTCTTTATAATTATTTTCTTTTTAGATGGACACTCACAGATCTCTTCAATTCACATTTTCTCCTTGCCTTCTCCTTATTTTTTTCTTTTATTTTATATATAAATTATTTTTAGATCATTCTTCGCACATTTCACAAATATACATGTAGATTTTTCTTCTTTTTTAACTCTTTTCTTTACTTTTTATTTATATAGGAAAGAATTTTTTTATTTTGCTCACTTTTCACATTTTTTTAGGATTTTTTGCGACCTTTTTTCTGTTGGTGAAATTTTTTCGAAATTATTCGCTAGGTTTTTGACATTTATTTTCAATTTTTGGGGTGTGTTTGAATTTTAAAAACTTTTTGTTGACTATTTTTGAACTTTTTTGACAAATGAAATTTTATTTTCACTTTTTTTGGTGTCAAAAATTATTTTGAAGCGGATTTTGAAATTTTTTAAATTTCAAATATTGTTTTTGTTCACTTTTTTATTTTTTTTTTTGACTTTTTGAATTTTTGCTTGAGTTTTTTTCAATTTCTTTTTACTTTTTTAATTTTTTATTGAACTTTTTGAATATTGTTGAATTTTTAACCTTTTTTTAAATTTTAAACTTCAATTTTTTAATTTGAATTTTTGTTGTTTTTCTCAAAATTAATTATTTGAATTTTTATTTTTTTTCTAACTTCATCAGGGCAAGAATTCAAAAATTCTTGAGTTTTCAATTCAAAATTCTTAGAAAATTTTTATTTTGCACTTTTGAGAAATTTTCACACTCAAAAATCTAATTTTTGCACAAATTTTCTTGATTATTATTTTGTAAAATTCTTTAACTTTTTCACAAAATCGAATTTTCCTCCGTTTATTTTCACAAAATCTTCTCGATTTTCATTCAAATTCTCCTTAAAAAATTTCTCTCACAAAAAAATTTTCCGTACTTTATTTTTATTTTGCGAAAAAAAATAAGCACAAACAAAATAAATATTTCTGTCTCGGCGAGAAGAAAAAAAAAGAATCGACGAAATTAGAGAGAACTAAAAATTATAATTTTTTTTTTTGATGATGAACGAGTTGTTGCTTGTTTATTTTAATTTCAATAATTTTATTTTTTTGATCGGCATTCACAAAAACTTTTCCCCAATAAAAGTGCATTTAGGAAAAGCCAAATTTTTCTTGTATTTTTCCTTCCTTTACATCCAAAAAAATAAATTAAAAAAATCTTCTTTTTACACACACGTTTCCCGAACTAACGTTCCCGAAGTGTATTCTAAGACTAAATATTCTTCATCGAAAAGTATTTTTTTGTTTTCGACTCGCTCGGTGTTTTCGTTTTTATGACTTTACATGTATGCGACTGTCTGGCTCACACATACAATTTTATTGAAGCTGTCTAGCTTCGCATAAGCATACAGACGATTGTGTAGGGCTCGATTTTATACCGCGATGTAGAAAACGTCTCGCATAATTTCTACATTCTTTAATTCATTATATTATCCACTTATACATCCATAGACTACCTCATACAGCTATAAAACCCTTCATGTATGGATGTAGATTCTCATAATACAGACACAAACTGAATATGCAATTTTTATTTGAGAACTTTTTTTTAAGACTTTTCGCAATTTGGTTTCTGTCACACGATAATCTTTACTGACACTCGATTACACTTTAACAGCCATCGATTCCGCACACAATTCTAATGACTTTTCACGACATTTCAACTCACTGAAAATCATTGAAATTAAATTTTTCAATATTATCGAATTTTTAATTTTGCAGACACTTTACAAATACATTTACACAATGACGGCACTAAACGGACGTAATGAGAGCGAATGTTTTGGTCTCGCTCAGTCTCTCGTCTGTATTGGAGACAATTGTGTGTAAATACGTGTGGGAAAAATTTCATAGACACGACGATGTGTACTCTCAATACGTGTGAGAGGAAGAGTCTATTGACTGAGAAAGTCTGTAAATGTAAATGCCGAGCGAGAGAGGAACGTGAGAGAAAATGTCTCATGCTAACATTGTGTAACATAAAAAGTAATGATTTTTATCCCTCCACACATAAATTTTTTTCTTTCCCTTTTTTTCCTCCTCGCAAAAATTTGCTGAGAAAATCTCGACGATTTTTTTAGGGCGAGAATAGGAGATGGATGAGGACTGTTGAGGTTATGGATTTTTCTTTCCTTCTTTTTTTTATTTCGTTCTTTTTGGGAAATGACCGTGAGTTGATATTGGAAATTTTATTATTTTTTTTTATATTTATTGATTTGAATCTGCTTTTTTGGGATGGAAAATTATTTATGGGAATATTACGGGTGGGTTTTTGGGAGATGTAGGGACTATTGTCATAGCTACCAGATTAATTTTGATTCATCAATTTTGTGAATTTCTCTGAATTGTAGGGAGTTTCTCTCAAATTGTGGTGAGTTTCTCTAAAATTGTGGTGAGTTTCTCTCAAATTGTGGTGAGTTTCTCTCAAATTTTGAAATATTCTCTCAATTTTGGTGAGTTTTTCTCAAATTAAAAAAATTTCTCTCAATTTTGGTGAATTTCTCTCAATTTTGGTGAGTTTCTCTCCAATTTTTGTGCGTTTCTCTCAATTTTTGGTGAATTTCTCTCAAATTGTGGTGAGTTTATCTCAAGTTGTGGTGAGTTTCGCTCAATTTTGGTGAGTTTCTTTCAATTTGTGGTGAGTTTCTCTAAAATTGTGGTGAATTTCTCTCAAATTGTGGTGAGTTTCTCTCAAATTGTGGTGAAATTCTCTAAAATTGTTGTGAGTTTTCTCAAATTGTGGTGAGTTTCTCCGAAATTGGGGTGAGTTTCTCTCAAATTGTGGTGAGTTTCTTTCTAATTGTTGTGAGTCCCTCATTATTATTATTTAACTTCCAACAATATCTCGTTCATCCTCCATAAAATCTCAAAAACCCAGATTACTAAGCTCTCAGAAGCTACAAAAATTTCCTCATACAACTTATCAACCAAAAATCATTCATCAAAGAAAAATTCAATTACAAAAAAAAAAACATTCCACGAGACCGCCGAATGTAAAAAAAGTACACAGAAACAAGAAGAAAATGAATAAACATCATAAAGATTTTCCCATCTAGGTGGTTGTAGAGAATGCAGTCAATGAAAAAAATATATTTCTCTCATGAAAAATACACAAAAAATACAAAGAAAAGTGCGCAAACACACAAACACACACATGCTGCTAACGTCCAGACAGACTCAATATTATTATTCTTCTTTCCTTTTCTTCTTCTTCCCAAAAAAAAATTCTTTTATTGATTTTTTTTCCAATAATTTTCATGCTCATTTTTTGTCTCTCTCACCTTAATTTCTTGTGATTAGGTTGTATGCACACGTGGACTTGAGTTATTTGGACTATATAGATGGGAAGTTAATTGGAATCAAGTTAAGGATGAGAATGGAAAGTATGACAGACTGTTTGGCTATTGGGTTGTGAGGTTCTGAGGATTTTATGTGATTCTAATTGGAAAATAAGAGTTCCAATTGGGTTTGAATGAAAAATTGCTGGTGTAAGAATTAAGAAAGTATTTTAAGGGTAGGTTGGTAGCTAGGAGTCAATTTTGAACTCATTTTAACTCATCTTTGAGCTAGAAGTGGACTGACACTCTGCTGACTGGTTTATGGAATCATATTAGGGAAGCTTGATTTTAAACATTATTCGAACTGACTCTTCATTGTGTCTTATGGCATTACAACAGCTCTCCATCCTTCATCCGCTTAAAAGTTCTGGCTGTATCCTATTATAGTGTTCCAGAAGTGACAATGACAGTTAATCATTGATCTGATATTTGAGTTTCTATCCAAGGCTATCTTAACCTAGCTTGGCCAACCTTTGAAGTGCCAGAGATCAGTCCCTTAAGTAGCAGTCTAATAAACCTCATCAACCATGCCAACCTAAGAAAAAATCAATTTCTCCTCATTTCTTCTCAATTGTAATTCAGCACATCTCCACATACCTCCATATTCCCGAAAAAAAAGATGAGCATCACAAATTGAGAACGAGAGCAATAATGGAGAGACATTCAAGGTCATGCAAATATGTCATAGGAATAAAAAAGTATCATGATGACATTACCAACATTGTATTGTTCTGTACATGCACACCGAGAATGATTGTGACATTAGAAGAATTATTGATGACATTCATTAATTCATGAATATGGCAGATTATTCTCACTTGGGTGCTCTCTCAATGTGTGTGGATGTAGAAAAGAAAAAAAATTATTTTTAATTCCGTTCACGCAGCAACGTGTCGTGTGGTATGAGAATATCCTCCCTCAAAGTGAAAGTCCTAGATATTTACGAGAGGCTGTACATAAATATCATCATAGAGCAAAAGCAGCAAAATAGAATGAGAGACATTGCGGTATATGAAGACACGTAGACCATCTATGCTAAGGAGTGAGAGATATACACGAAAAAAAGAATGTCTGTGTGCCATATACGGCATTTGCTAGAAGAAAATTTATGGCTCATTCAATATATTTACCATTCCATGCAACTGAGACACTTCTTTACAGCATACATACATTTTGTGCTTATTATTGTTGCTGTTATTATTATCATTATTATTGATTCCAATTGTAGCACAAGAAAAATGGCAATAGAATTGAGGAGAAAAAGGCAAGGCTTTTAAATTAGTTTTTCGTTGTGAATATTAAATTGGAGTGAATAAGATTTCTTCCATAATTCGTGATTCTTTAAATCTGAAACCAAAAAAAATTAAAGTTTTGAGATTTTGGGGAGATTCGGGAGCAACTAGAGCGCATTAATGCGTTTGAAAGACTATTTATATTGGTCCTAGTTTACTCTAGTAGGTTCTATTTGAGCTAAGGTCACCATAGTTACTTTAGTGAGGGTTTGATTGATTTAAGCATCGATTAATAGTCTCTTGATTAAATCATAGTGTCACCTAACATAATGCACCCTTAAATAACCTCTAGGTAGCTTCTGAAAGAGCATGAGCTCAGTTGACTCGTGATTATGCTCAATAAACAAAAATAAAATAAGTAGACAGGATGCTCAGTAGTCAGGTGCGTAGCCAGGAGGGTCTTGTCCCCTCCTTAAACGTTTTGAACCACAGCGAGAGCACGGCCTAAAACACTTAACAGGGGGACATGACCCTGCTGGCTACGCGCCTGTCAGTAGTAAAGCATCAACCAGTCTGAAGGATAAATTATAAATTGACTTTACACAGCTTTAAAATTGAAGGCTTTAAATTTAAAATAACTCTATAGACTCATCAGTATAAATTCTAGACAAATTGACAATCAAGCCAACTGCAAATTATTCCCAAAAAAAAATCCGATAT